CCTAAAAGCGGGCGTTGTTTCGGGTAAAATTCAGGTTAAGATAAGTTCGTAAAAACGTAACTTAATATTCGTAGCTCACAAAAAACGTTAACGTACGGATATCTGGTCGAAGATGCGGAAGTTAATTTTTTTGAGATAGAGAAACTGGAAAACTTCTATAAGGAATTTTTACTACTTTTTGGCCATTTCTTTTGGGCCTTTTAGAACCAGGCTTCAGCAGTTGAGCACTTGACACACAGAGAGTTTTTCTTTCTATTTCAAATATTCGCAGGTATTATTAAATTTAAACAGAGACTGACTTAAATTGAGACTTACAGACCACGCGGTTTTACAGTAATAGCATAGAATAAGAACTGAATAGAAGTGCCACTCAAGTCGGAACCTTTGATGTAAATGGCGCCGCGCATGTCGCCTCGCGCATCTCGGCCGCCATCTTCCCAGCAAGTAAAAATGGAGGATTTTATAGAGTGTTATTAGGGAGTTAACTGCAAAAAGTGGATTTTCAGCGACGATTTACTTCTAAATTATCAAAAAATGAATGATTTGTTTAAAAAGAAGGTATGTGGTTTTATCTAGTCTTATTTACAAAGAATATTTAAAGTTTTGAAGCTGTAATTTAACAATTTAGTGCGGTGTTTTTCGTGACCGAGATAGTATTCATAGTTAGGTTTGAGTTATTTTTATATTTTTGTTCGTATTGCTACAAAATATATTCTTACATGAAAATTTTGTATTGCTTTACTTAATTTTGAAAGACATCATGTTATGTCATACCGTTTCTGGTTGGCAATTTGCATATTAAATCCAACTTATCCAAGCACAATTTCAAGAAATACAATAATCATATGTATTGTTGGAAATATGTAATTGGCTGGCTGAAAGAGACTTAAAGCCCTGTTTAAACAGATCCAACATTGTTGGGCCAACATCATCCAACATTGTTGAAATAATGGCTCAAACGGCTTCTTTTTCAAATATTTTGTCAAGACTAGGTTTAGGGTTTGAGTAAAGCTTGTCTAACCAAAAAGATTTGAAAGAGAAGCAGTCATCTAGTATAGTAACATTGTTGGATGATGTTGGTCCAACAATGTTGGATCCGTTTAAACAGGCCTTAAGTTGATCAGTACACTTTGTTTAAGTTTTTTCAAATTATTTAATATCCATTTTAGTTTAATATTAGTGATACTCATTACTGTTCTTGCATGCACTTTATACCAGTATATCACTGATATATTTCCTTTTTTGATATTTTTCAGTTTGAAAGATCACAGATGAAACAACTTCCATGATTTGAACAACTTCTACAAACATTAACTTTAATTGTAATGCAAAATGGGAATATTTTGTAATATGGAAATTTTTTGTCAATGTAGACATATGGTGACAAAATGTTTGTGATGAAAATGTCTTCTATAGTAAATCTAGTTGTTCCACATATCCAAGAAATTGTGCGGTTGTGCACACTTTTTTGCAGTTGTGAAAACTCACAACTGCAAAACCTCTACCTTTAAGCCTGAAAAGCACAATAGACATGCTTATGTCTCTTTCTTAATGGTTCTATTTAGCTGCTGAAGCATAATTTAAGTGAGGTCAAATACACAATTTGTGCATATTTTCAGAATTCAAAAAGTGAGAGTCATGGACACATAACCCTTAACTCTTTTGAGCATTCATAACTTCAGCTCCAACATTTCCATGGCAACTACATATCGAACATCTCGGCAAAGGTTAGGCCATCAAAGCTAATGACTTAGCTTTATGATATATAAAACCTTTGCAAAGACATATATGAAATGTTTTTTGAAGCTTTTCAAGATTAAATTGTATAAATGTATATTTAAACACAACAAAAACATCTCACATTACAGATTAGATGACAAACTGTACATGTTCTAAAGCTTGGTTCACACTACCAATTTTGTAGTTGATTTTCTATTCTTGATGGATGCAAATGTGTGAACTTGCACACAAAACTATAGAATATTTTATTGCTATTCAGAAATATATATTTCTTAGTCTAAGTAGGGCACGTTGTGGCTCAATGGGTTAACCTAGAGACATTGTCAGATTTATTGGTAAACCATTGAGCTGCAGAGCTTCCCCGTTGATGAGTAAAATTGTCTGGTGTTAGATAGTCTGGCATAATGGAAGTGAACAGTTTTGTTCATGATGTATGATTCCAATAAAAACTTGCTTTCTGTTAAGATAGTAGATTATTACAAATGTTGACAGGTGACAGATATATTCATCAGTGGTATGTCTGTTACATCTGTACATCCAAAATGGTCATATAATTTATATTTATTCAACCTTCACCATATATATTAATATTACCAGGGATGGATACAGCATGATCTGGTGTGTGGGGGTGGGGGCGGGTGTGCTGCTCTGCCAGCTCTGGTGCCGAGTTGTGTCGGTGATGTGTGCTGCCCGCCCACCAACTTGCTTCGCTACTGCAAAGTCTTGCTTGACTACTGTATTTGAATTGTAATTGTTGTTCACAGTTCGCTTATTGATCATGTTATTACTGAAATGACTGTATCTCATTTTGTCTCTAATAATTTTTTGCTTTATCACGAAATATAGCAGACCCCCTGCACCCCCTCTGGCCAGGGCTAGGGGGTGTACCCCTCTGGCCAGGGTAGGTGGTGCACCCCCCCCCCAAACACCCCCCAGTAAATCCATCCCTGAATATTACTAATAACATGGATACAATACATACATTACATTATAAATATATAATACTATTGTATACTAATGACAATTGCTGTGAAAGCACCACAACAGTTAAAATCAACTACTGTGGGCCTTTTAACGACAAACATCTAGAAACAGCAGTTAATAACATAGTTCAAACTTCGACAACCTTTATAGTTTAAACACAGATTTCCATGTTCTTGCATCCTCTGCATCAATGCAGGGCTTTCGAGTAATAGTCTCCTAACAATCTCTTAAATGTATTTGTACTTTAAGAATGTGTTAGGTTCTCTTAAGTCTGCTGGAAGACAGTTTGTTACACATGAGAAGTACAAGCTCTGGAATGTGCTAGACAAAGTCCTGCTTTCTGTGGGTGGAAGGATAAAATGTTGGTACCAGATGATCTGGTCATTCTTGTGGGAATTATGGGTTTGGGGCCATGATGAGATATGTCCACCATACCATTAACTGAAATGTCTTTGGGCTATCCTTCAACCAACTTGGCTACCAAGATGTATAGATCTCATATTAAATCTGTAATGCAATAATACACATTTCCTTTGTCCCGAAGTGTTGCACACAAATACGCCATGTTTTATGAATGTCAAACAAGCCATGAACCCAACTGACTCAATATTGTAAAAATTAATTTTGGCTGCCAACAGCCCAATGAAATAATCTCTTCCTTGATTCTTTCCCTGAAATCAGTCCATTCCTCATACTGGTCATTGCCTCATTGGGTTCCATCAGCTATATACAAGACACAAATAGATAAATTTCAAGTACAATATTAAAAACATCGACAATAGCGCTTGGTTGCCTGCTGCAATTTTAAATACAAGAATAGAGCTCTAGAACTCAGGCATTGTCTTCAGTGCAATCAGTGATAATTTTAATATATTAAACATGTCTGCAAATTGCAGAGAAATTAACTTACAAAGACTTTTCTCGTGACTAAATACTAAGCAGTTAGATCTAGTGTAATGGTCCAAACATTAAATGAACATTCCCATGCATAAAATTGTCAAAGACAGTTATAAAACTTACTTGATTCGAAAACGCTTGAAATTCATATAATTGAATCGATTATTGTTCGACACTCACGCCCGTTTTATCCAGTATAAATGCGCGGAATTTCATCCATTACACCTTATTATCATTTAGAAATGTGTGTTCTTTCATCCTCTATAATTTTTATGGCGATTCGATGAAATTTGAGCGTTTTATTGAAGTTTTCTTGCATCGACTCGGTGTTTCGCCATACAATTTACTATTAGCTTGCTGCGGTTTTACTTGCTAGGAAGATGGCGGACCTAACGCATGCGCAGTGGAAAAAAGGTGCCATGTCGCACACTAGAGTGGGA